AGCTATCTGCTGGACAGTAAGACGTGTGTCATCCACAACCATACGGTGAATGGCATCATCTTGTTCATCAATGGTTGAGGTTTTTGGACGACCTGACCGAGGATCATCTGTGCTGTCCCTGCCCCGCTTGAATTCCGCAACCCACTTCTTCACAATTCCATAGGAAGGGGTGTCTGTACGAGGTCCTCATGGATTTCTTTGGGTGTCATACCTTTTCTTTTGCAGATACTTTATGACTTCTCACGCCTCTGTTTTGTCCATTTTTAGATTTGTCGCACATCTCTCACCTTTGTATTGACCTCATCTGCATAGAAATTAAGACAGAAATTGGATTTGAAAGTGGCAGTGTGTTACAAACAAAAAAAATGTTCAGCTATGGTTCGTTTTTCTGGGTGAGACTTAGAACCCCCATTGAATGAACTTCTTACATTGTTAACACTCCGGCGAATGTCTCCATCCTTGTTGCTATTATCACAATGTTTTGGCTGTTGCGTCTCCCGACCTTTTCAAGTATCTGTCACTCTGGGTAGCCTTTATCTAACCGGGTTTGGGAATGTCAGAGTTTTCCTTCTTCTAGACTGGTTACCAACCAAGCCGGAAGAACTACTACTGCTGTTCTATGGCCGAAACTCTAATTCCACACTTACTGCAAGAAGGGAATATGGTTTATTCATTATGCATTCAGATTTGACTAGTTTTGTTTTCTTCGGGGAAACAGCGTTCAGTCCTACACACGAACCGCCATTCTAGATAGGGATTGCTCAACTGAGAAACATACAAAATCGTCCTATCCAATAGAAGACGAAATTGTGGTATTTTATATGGCCATCAAATTATTTTTGGTGAATTTAATGCCACTTTATTTGCGTCATTTACTGCCAAGACGCTTCTCCCCCAAATCGAAAGTTACGAGAAAGTGATAGTAGTGCAATTACAAGTAATGGCCTATCTGTTAGATTTTTACCATCTTGCAGTCTAATGTTAACCCCAATAGCAGAGACTTTCAGTTCTTTGAAAGCAAAATCTTCTGCTGATCTTGAAGTTTTCATAGAGCAATTCAAGAAGAAGCTTTCTCGAATTTTGAAGAATGTTTTCCACGAATATTTCATAAAAGATGTTTGTCTAAAGGTTCAATATCATAACACATCTATGTTAGCATCTATATATAAAATTCTGTGACATCTGTTAGTCCGTCCGTCACACACACTAAAATAGCCATACATTGACTGATCAAAACCAAAAGTGCAAATACTATGGTGCGTAACTTAGTGCAATAAATCTTCATTATTTCATTTTTGGGAAAAAATAAATATTTTATTATTTAACATACAAAATACTCCCACTATGTTAGAAACAATTTAATGATTAAAATAACAAATACATATTTAATAGAAATGCAATATTGTTTTTGTACATCTTTTTCTTTAAGTTTTTATATATATATATATATATATATATATATATATATATATATATATAATTTGGTGAAATATAATTCACACTAGTAGCACTGTAAATATAATCACGGTAGGGTGACTTTCAAATGGGTAGAGGATTTCAAGAGTAGTAGAATATTTTCAAATTTTTTTTTTGTGATTTCTTTTCTCGCACTTCTCGCTTGTGAAACTCCCTTCTGGTTCCATGCTTTCCAGCCAACTTTAATCTGCAAAAATTTAAATGCAATGTCTATCGCTATCTACTGTCCACTTGATTACTCTCGTCTGTTGCTGCTCATCATTAATGTTTCTGTTCCTAATTCTTCCACACTTGGGGTGATTCCGATTAAAGAAAAAGAGTAATCCAGTTTGCAGTTCGCCCTGTATTTGCGAGAACTATATACAAATCCCAAGTACAAACGCTTCAAATGGTTGGTATTTGACTCCAGAAAGAAATATTTACTCATGGCCAGTTTTATATTACATGATCAAAAGAGATCCTAAAAAAATATTTTTCGCTGATAAAAAGAAAAAAAATTAATTTTCTTAAAAAGTATTGTTTACCATGAAATCATATAAAATTAGATTAAATTAAAGAAATTATTTAGCCGCGAAATAGTTTTTTTTTCTTTTTTTGTCAGAGTATTTGTTCCAAAAATAATTAAAAAAAAGGCGGTGGCTGGGCATTAAATCATTTTTCTCTACCACTGTTCAACCGGTAGTTGGGCATTACGTCATTTTTCTCTAACACCGGTAAAGCGGTGGTCAGGGTTCAAAAGGTTAAAACAAACACTATTCTCATCATTACCATAATATTAGTGCATCACAGGTTAAAGTGCAAACACTGCACATATTTTCCGTGAGAAATGATGCCAAGAACGTCTAGCTAAATCTTCATAAATTGCATCTGTAACCAAAGAAATTTTCTTAAAAATATTGTTTACCAAGAAGTCCTATAAAATTAAATTAACTTAAAGAAATTATTAAACTGCGAAGTAGGATTTTCGTCAATGTATTTTCCAAACACATCAGATTACTCAAATTTCATCGATTGGTATGCGAAATTGAACAAAATGTAGAGCTTGTAAATCTCGACAAAATATTTTAGCGATGACTTCAACAATAGTAAATACTGTGAGGATTTCAAAATGCTGACGCGTGTTACAAGCAAGATCGGGTGCAGGACGACTCATCACCTCAAAGACGCCGACTCAACACTGCCGACTCAACACCAGCCAACTCATCTCCGTGACAACTGAAATCCATGACAACCCACTTCCAGCTTACTCAGCGCGAGGATAACTCAACGAAATGCAAACTATGAAATTTTTCGTCGAATTTTTAAAAATAAATAAAAGTAATTCATTAAGAATCATATTTTAATATATGACTTTATTTCAAATTTAAAATCTTGTTGATAATTGTATGCGATTCCCCTCAAATATACTTTTGGAGATCGTTGTGTAAATAAAGAAACAATCTGCAAAATTCTTTCATCTGCCTTCATATACTTCTTCAAATTAGGGGAAGCGAGATGACCTGCAGTTAACTGCTCGAAAATGTATCGTGGTTTCTTTGCACCTGTTGCAGACCCCGTAATGAATCTCTGGGGTGCTCCATCCCAAGCTCTTGTACTGTCTTCTATCTGTTGCATCAACATGGTTATTTGTCCGATCTTGAAGACACCGGTCAGCCAAATAGGTTGTTGTAACTAATAAATCACTAAAACAGTTAAACTTTCAAAATGTCTACGACTCAAAGCCGATCTAAGAGATGCGCACACTATGAAAGCCAACACCGATCTGAAGCTATGAATTCGACGTCAGCGTTGAGTTGTCCTCACGCTGAGTAAGTTAATGTTGAGTTGTCTTGGAGATGAGTTGGCCGGTGTTGAGTCGGCTGTTTTGAGTCGGCTGTGTTGAGTCGGCTGTATTGAGTCGACGGTGACAAAATGTTCCACCCCGAAAAAATTCTAGTCAATAATTTGTCTACATCCCAAATGGACAAAAATATAATATCCAATATGCAACGGAAATTGTTTTTCAGTTCATTAAAAGCCTCTTTACTTTGAATTCTCGTCTTTACAGGAGTGAAGAACATTTTCATTGCTTTCAATAAGAGTATCTTTTATATGGGATAAAAAGAATTTATTCATTGAATATTGTTCTATTTTGAATAATGGGTTATTCTTTTTTTAATAAAAGTCTATTTAATTTACACAGAGGTATCTGGCTTAGTGAATATCTTTGACATAGTCGCCCATATTTTACACAGTTTTAACTGGGCTCGCCAGTACCATTTTAATAGCACAAACCGGCACTTCTGAGAGAATGCAAGAACTCCTGAATGAGGAAATGGAAGTAGAAAGGTCTAAACATCAATTGCAAGAATACGGAATGCATGGTTGCTAGCAAAAGGAACAACCCAACATGTAAATTACAAATTGGAGATGCCAAAATCAAACAAGTACACCAATTGAAATATCTGGGAAGTGTTTTATCAGGATGGAAAGTAATGAAGGAAAGCAGGAGGAAAGGATTAAACATCAATTGCAAGAAGACAGAATGCATGGTTGCTAGCAAAAGGATCAGCCCAACATGCAAATTACAAATTGGAGATACCAAAAACAGTACAATTTAAATATCTAGTTTTAACAGAGGACCGAAAAGGGCAACAATGAAATCTGAAGGCGCATTGGGATAGCAAAAGAGGTCTTTCGAAATCTAAGCAAAGTATTAAGAAAAAGAAAACATTCTTTAGTAACATAGAAAAGACTATTGAACTGTTACGTAATATCAATCCTCCTTCATGGCAGTGAATGCTGGACAATCTCCGCAAAGATGAAGAAGAGACTTGAAACAAAAGAAATGTGGTTCTACAGAAGGATACTGAGAATAGCATGGGCCAAACATGAGCGCAACAATGACGTTTTAGAGAAAACGGAAAGAAACTGGACACATACTTAACATTATTAAGAGACAGTTGAGATTTCTACGGCACGTAATGAAAAAAGAGGGCTAAGAAAATTTGATACTCACAAGTAAGATTGAAGGCAAGGTTAGGGAGAGGAAATCAATACATATCCTACCTAGCGAGATTGTGTATACGGATGGTAGCACAGGGATTAGGAGAGATGAGAAAAAGACAGTTATTAAGAGCTACGATGCACAGAAAATTGTGGAGACTTTTTTAGATCAACGTCCAGTAGGGACCCGACACATAAAAGAAGAACCGGTACTTCAGCTGATGGTTTGTTTTAATAATAACTAAATGCTTACACTGACGTCTTCCGCTTCCGGTTTATATTTTTCTGTTGTTGAATTCCGTTGGTACTTCGGGGCGAGACTAATTTCGCAGTTCATTTTTGATGGCGACTGTTTAACGCATCGTGGAAGTTTAAACCCAAATCATATGAGACAATTCAAAGAGGAAGTTTGCGTACACGAACTTACGTACTCACACACACACACACGTCCATGCAAGCACACGTAGACATATATATGCACAGACGTTAGCTCTTGGGTGTAATCTTGGTCAAATATTTTCAAGAGATGTCAACCGGAAATGGAATTTAAAAGAAAATCAGTCAAAGAAAAGGCATTGGAATTGAAGCACTGTTTTTACCAATTTCCCCACACAGATGCACACAGCTCAAGTAATATTATTAAACCTGGGTTGGATATTATTAGAAGTTAGAGAAGTGGAATAGTTTGCAATAAAAGAACAAAACCCAATTTTCTGGCTATATATTAATTTTTTTTTAAATATTTTTTGTTCATATTCTTTCTGTTTTCGATCGTTTGGCCGTTAGATGTTTAATTTTTTTTCTCTTTTATTTAGTCCTCTCTTGAATTTCGTTTTTTAATATTTTTCTGACTTTTTCTTGTTTCTTTTCGCATTTTTTCTTCATTTTTTTTCATTCTTTCTTTACGTCTATCTGACTTTATATGTATTCAATACCCCACTTCGTTCATTTTAGCTTACTCTCTTTTCTCGGGTCTTTCTTTCTTCTCTGATATCCAGTTATTGTTTTTCCTCTTCTCTCTTCGAAGCTTTATTCCGTCCGTCCGTCCGTCCGTCCGTCCGTCCGTCCGTCCGTCCTTCCTTCCTTCCTTCCTTCCTTCCTTCCTTTCTGTCTTCTTTCTTTCTTTTGTCTTTTCCAATATCCAGTCACATACGTTTTTTTCTTGCCCTCTCTCTCTCTCTCTCTCTCTCTCTCTCTTATTGAATTTCTTTCTTTTTCCTTCCCTTTGCGATATTTAGCTCATTCTTACAATCTGTTTTTTTTTCATTTTCTTTTCCGAATTGTTTTTCTTCATTCTTTTTTTCAAATATTTTCTCTTTTCCAATATTCAGTTACCATAATTATTCTCTCTCGATTTCTCGATCTCTCTCCTTCTCACCCTCCTTTTCCTTCTCTCCTTCTCCCTTTCTCTCCCTCTCTTTCTTTCTCTCTCTCGCTCTCTCTCCCTCTCTCTCTCATCCTCTCTTTCTCATCCCCTCTCTCTCTCTCTGTTGTGATAATAAAATAAGCACATCCCATCTCCCCTCTCGCTTGTAACCATCCACTATAATATTACTTTCAAAGCTGAATTAGTCAAAGCATCATACGCTTCTACTAAAGTTGTTGCCATATTACCGTATATATTCACGTATCATGCGACTTAATAGTGAAGCTAATTTTAAGAGGGTCGAATCATACAGTAGATGTAAAATTAGGATATGTACTGCTGGCATTGAGTATGCCATTGACCAAACTATATATCCATTTACTGTAGTCAAAGTAGCTTCAAAATTAGGTCTTCAAAGGTCACATGACACGCGAGTACATAGGCTACATGCCTACTTGAATTTTCTTTACTCTTTCTTTCTTTTTGTTCTTTCTTTCTTTTTCTTTCTTTTACGATATGTATTTCTGACCTTTCTTTCTTTCTTTTTGCCTCTCTAACTTTTCCAATATTCAGTTACCTTCGTTTTCCTTTACTTTCTCTTTCTCTCTCCGCGAATTTTATTTACTTTTTTCGTCGCCTTTCTTTATTTTACGACATTAATGATTATATATGTTCTTTCTTTCTCTCTCTGTCTTTTTTAATACACAGTTTCTTTCCTTCTTTTTTTTTCTCTCTACACGAATTTCTTTCATATTTTCTTTCGTTTGCATTCTTCTTTTTTTTATTTTACGATATTTAATTATTCCTTACCTATTTTTTTTTCATTTTCTTTGTTTCTTTCTGATTTTTTCCTTATCCAATTACCTCCCTTTTCTCTTGCTATCCTTCGTCTCAATATATTTTCTTTTTTACTATTTAATTATTACCTAATTTGGTTTTCTTTCTTTCGCTCTTTCGGTCTGTCTATCTTTCCCTCTTTCTTCCACTTTCTTTCTTTCTTCCTCTCCGCAGTTCTCTCTTTCTTACCTTTTTCGTTCTTTCTCTCGTTCTATTTTTTCTTTCTTTCTTCCTGTTTGGTTATCGTTTTTCTTTCTCTCTCTCTTTCATTCTGTCTATCTTTTTGCTTTTCTTTCCTTCTCTCTTTCTAATAGTCTAGCCCTCGTTCTCTTTGACTCTGTTCACTCTTTCTTTCTTCCTTTTTCGATATCAAGTTCTTCTCAAATCCTCTCTGTAATATTCTACTTTACATTTTATTTATTTTATTTCTCTTCTTCTTCTTCTTTTTCTTCTTCTTCTTCTTCTTCTTCTTCTTCTTCTTCTTCTTCTTCTTCTTCCTGTTAAGCACATCGAAATGGCGAACATAGAAAGAGATACCAAATTCCCTAACCTGCAATCTCTTTTTCCCTCCGAGGACGTATTAGGCGTTGCTTTTTCTCATTCTTTCTGTCTGTTTTTCTCTCTTTCTTTCGTTTTCTTTCTTTCTGTCTCTCCACCTTTCTGTTTTTCTTTCTATCCTTTTTCTTTCTTTCTATTTTTATATTGTTCTTTCTTCCCGTTCTGCTTGTTTTTCTTTCTTTCTATCTTCCATTCTTTTTGTCTTTTTTTTTCCTTCGTCTCTGTCTTTCAATCTATCTTTCTTTCCTTCTGTCATTTTTTTACCTTCGTTTTCTTTGACTTTATCTCTCTACTCTAGCTTTCCTTCTTTTTCGATATCTAGTTCTTCTCAAATCCTCTCTGTAGTCTTCTACATTACATTTTTTCTTTTCCTCCTTTTTTTCTTCTTCCTTTTAAGCCCATCAAAATGGTGGACATAGCAACAGATACCGAATTCCCTCACCTGCACACTCTTTCTGCTCCGAGGGCGGATTAGACATGGTCTTTTCTTCAATTCTGTGCTACAGGGGAAATCCGTTTTATTGAGGCAACTTTTCTTTTCGCTTTCAAAATACATTGAATATAAACCATGAAATCTTCAGCAAGTATTGTAGGTGAAGGCACGTTCTGATCATGCGTACTCGACATATAATAATAATAATTCCCCATATCATCCATCATTATATTTCTGCTTAAAACTGAGACCAAATTTTGGATTCTATCCACAGATTTTATTCCAGGTAGCCTTTGCGTTTTATATTAAATAAATATGCAGACTTCGTTACCTTTTCAAAGTTTCAGAAATAGCATTCTTAATAAGAGACATTAAATTTCGTGGTTGAGTGTGCTTGGAAAAAAATGTTGGTCACAAGCGAGAAAATGACATCGAAAATGAGGACAGATTTTGTTAAAGCATAGCTAAAAGAATTTTATTTATGAATCTTTCGTCATATTTTTTTTATTACGCTCTAATCAAGATGATAAAGCCACGAAGACGTTGCTGAAGATGAAAGCAATAGAGAGAAGAAAACTGAGACAAAGTTATCGACGTGAAACAACAATGAAAGGAACCAGATTCAAGTATATGACGATTGATGTTGCATTTAAATTATTGTATGTCGTTATATCGTGCTATAATAGATAACAACGTGGAATGAAAAATCGGAGAGCAGAGTTCGAATTCCAGTCGGGTCAGTTACATTCACTTACACGCAAAGGTACGAATCTATCTCCAGCTATGGATTCAACAACAAGACGACCGGTCAACTGCAAAAAATTATCGTCAGTAATGAATAGAAAATGTCATGATCACTCAAACGTGTATTAATTAACTGACAGATTTACAGGGTGATTGAAAAGTAACTCCACATTTTAAAATACTTATAATTTATTTAGTAACTATAATTTTGACAAGAAATGAATTATGAGAGGAAAGCGTTTAGCATGAGATTTTATTTCAAATTCGATATTGGCACCAGATTTTGCTACCAGCCCAGAAATCGCGTCAAATAATTTCACCAGGAACTCTTGTGATATAGAAGCCATAACTTCTTGTATTCGCCCTTCATGTTCTTCCAAAGTCTTGGTTTGGTATAATAGACTTGCTCCTTTAACCAACGCCAAAGAAAAAAAGTCACAGGATGTTAAGTCAGGATTCGTGGCTGGCCATTCATACATAAAATAGGGAGTTACTTTTCAATTAACATGTAGTTTCGTTACATTTACTTCGCGTAAATATCCGTAGAAAAGGTATGAATCCTCCAAGCTACGGGTTAAATAGAAAAACTGTTTTTTCACCCTTGCTTGGAAACTAGTCTAGGAGAAGTGCAACTCTGAATTCAAAAAACATGTAATCCTGGCGAAGCACATTCTAACGAAAGAATCGTGGAGTTTACAATGACACTAAGATCCCGACTTCCGTCGGCCTTCATTGAAATATATAGCTATTCCTAATGAGGGTTCTGTTTATTATTTAATAACCATAGAAAACTGATCCCCTACTTTATGTCCAGTAATTATACCAATCCCAGTTTACCCATAATGACTTACGGCCATATCACGTTGAAACACCGGTTTCTGTACGATCACGTCGAGCCTGGTCAGAATCTAGATGGGTGACTGCTTGGGAATACCAGATGCAGTAAGCTTGGATGTGCCGGTGGTGTAATTGTCAATCGGAGAGCCGAGTTCCAATTCTGGTTGGGTTTGTTATATTCACTTACGTTCAAATACCCTTTAGAAAGGTATGAATCCATCTCTTTTTCCTTCAGCTATGTGTTACTGAGTTAGATTAGTAAATCTTTTATGACTAAATCAGTATTATCTCAAAAAAGTTCGTACAGTCTAAAAATATTTTCTGGCTTTAAATAACCTACAAAGGGTTGATAAGCCATAAAAAACGAATCAATCAATCAATGAAATACTGGTTAGCTGCACAGGCATGTCTTTTAAATTTATTCACATTCTCTTGAATATAAATATATAGACACTACTGTGGCCCTAAAGTGAGGGACCTGTTTATATATTGATTGTAATATAGAATTGAGCCCCTATTTTATATCTATATTATAATTAATTTTGTGTTTATCAAATTTTGAATTAGGTATGAATCTAAAATATTTTCTGGCTTTAAATAAACTGCAATGGGTTGATAAACCGTAAAAATGAATTAATCAATCAGTTATCGTGATATCGGAAATGGCGGCATATTTTCTTAAGTCCTTACTGCTGTTAGATTTTCACATACTTTAAATATATTTTCAAATTAACAAAATCATCCGAATACAGAAGAATAGAGCGCTCACTAGAATTCGAACGGAAGTAGGAAAATAATACATTAATATTTTTTTCTTTTTGTTATTTCGTCTACTTCCTGTTCTGCCAACCATTTACACAAGCTTGTTAGGGAGGTTATTTGTTGCTTTTCTTTGTCCCTCTTGCTTTTAATATGTCCTGTCACGAAAATTTTCTTTGTCCCTCTTGCCTTTAATATGTCCTGTCACTAAAATTTTCCGTGTCCTCTCTCCTCATTATATGCCCTAGAAAATTCAACAATCTCTTTCTAATGCTATATATAAGTGTCTTTTTTGATTCCATTTTCTCTGAAACTTTGTCATTGCTCACAAGTTCGTTCGATACTATTCTCAGCATCCTTCTGTAGAACCACATTTCTGTTGCCTAAAGTCTTTTCTTCATCTGTGAGGAGATTGTTCATATAGGAGGACACTTAGAATTAATACCAGAAAGCGACAACTGAAATTTCTAATTTATATAATGAGGAAAGAGTGCTTGGAAAATTTGAAGTGGAAGAACGACATAAAACATCTTCCGCCATATTCTCCTGCTTGTGTTCCTACAGTTTACCAATTATTTCGATGCCAACAAAATACCGTTAATGGGAAGGACTTCATTCAGTCAGTAAAAAAAGCAAAAGCTCATTACTTACGAATATGCAGGGAAGATGAAACCGTGAAGCTGCCTAAAAGATAGTGACATATAGTGGAACAAAAAGGCAATTGAATAAATCTGTCTTATTACTTAAACATAATTTTTAGTGGATAACCACATTTGAGTAGACGCTCCGTTTACTTATTAGTATATTTATTTTCCTTTACCGGCCTGAAAATCTGAAATAAAGAAATATATTTATATATAAATTACTGTAGCGCCGAGTCAAATATGGGAAACCTTTAAAAATAATGTTTAAATAATAAAATCTCTCTGATTGATAAATAAAAATCCATTACTTCTTTAGTAATTGCTTTGTTTACGTTAGGATACGAAACTGCGCAAATATGAATGTTTCAAAAGTCTGAGAAAGAGTTACGATTATAAGGCATTAGTTAACTAGGTTTGATCGTCGATGCACTCCGTGCTTTGTTGGTTTAAAATACGTCGGATCTAACGACGTTTACTTTTGCCAAGAGGAACGCAGGTTCGAATCCTGCTTGTGGAGGCATATTTCACCTTAACAAGATTTCTGTAATATTCGGGCTGGTAGATGAAAATAAATAAATAAATGGAGCGTCTACTCAAAGATAGGTAACCATTAATAATAAAATCTGTCCAATTGATAAATAAAAACACATCACTTCTCAATTAACTCAGTGGTTTTTGATAATGAACATTTCGGTGAGATGGACAATTTTGCTGTTACACTCGGTATATAAAACCTAGGGAACTTAAGTTTCTCCCCCAAAACTGATTTTATGCTTTATCTTATGGTTTATAGGCTTTACGTTGTATTGAGCACTTTAAATTATCAACTATTATATCAACTATTGTTGTAGAGTAGTTTTCACAGTGGAGGCTTGTATTTCAATAAGTCGTCCTAAATTAGGTTCAACGTACAAAACGTTAGGAACTTGAAATAAGAGTTAATGACGCAGCAATCTAGTTGTGATGATTGGTACTTCAATGTCCGATATCGACTGACTCGATCAACACCACTGAGCCCAACTGGCGACAGCTACCACTACTACTAATTATTATGTTTGGGAGAGTCTATTAATAATAGAATAGGTACGTCAGGTATAACAACTATATATATAAATAACACAATAGACTACCCACAATGCAATACAATAGACAACCCACAATGCAACACTGACCAGTATATATAAATAGTCGAGCAAAGCCACAACGCACATAGCCTGACGACTGCGTTCAGCATGAAACAGAGTGTCGATTCTGAGTGTGGACTTCAATGTTCACTTTTATATTTGCACACGCTCTATGTCTGATATTGAGCACTTTATCCCATAAATATAGCACA